TTTTTTTTTCTCCCCGATCTAAAAATGAATTTTTTTTCTTAAAGTTTGAAGAGCCTCATTCCACGTAGCATGAATGTTTTCTGGTGTGTTTTTCAAAGGAGTCTTGGTTGTCATTTTGACACACGCATCGCCAGATTCTAGCAGAGCTTTGGTTTTGATTAATCAGGAGTTAATCGCTGACCGTTTAAACTAACATGACCTTCATTCTCTTTCCCTCTCACAGGTTGGCTTTCCATCCAAGCCATTTTGCACACATGAAATAACAAACTTTTTTGCGTGTGTGGTTTTTCTTTTTCATCAGAGAGTCTAAAACAAGTTCAGGTGCAGTGTAAACATTAACTGATCTTTTCATTTCAAAGAATTGCGGAACTAGTAAAACAGGCAGAGTTCCCATTGAATAAGCATAAGGTCATTAAACACAGCAGTCTCTAAGGCCTACTCAGGGAAATAAGTAGGCCTTAGAGAGGCCTCTCCTTGTTCACAGAGACACTGAAGCTGCAGAAAAAACGAATTGAATTTCCTAACTTTGAGATAATTAATCTATATAGTATTATTTGCTCTAGTGTAGTTGACTTTGTGTGTTTAAGATTTTTCATCTCAAGAGCAGAGCTATAAACATAAACAATGAAGCTCTGGCCACCGCGGCTGAGAGTCAGGGTGCGAAGAACAATTTCAAGATGTATTTTCATATTTTGACTATCGTTAAGCAAATTGGATTTCCTGCCATCGTTGTTTAAAAAGAGACACCTGTCACATAGCATTGTCTTACAGTTTTTAAAAAGAGAATCCCAGGAAAAGTCTATGAAGATACAAGGTTAAAACTGTACATATGTTGAGAAACAGATTGCTGCTTTAAGATGCTACTTAGGTCCGCCATCCTCTCTGTTCTTTCCCGTTCCTCAAGGGTAGTCAGATTTGCCTTCCTGAGTTACCAGACATTCTCTCTTGCTCATACGTGAAAACCCTTCATTTCTAGCATCACACTGTGTCTTCCTGAACCTCAAGGTAAACGTCTTCACGGATCGGATTTGTCTCTCTCCGTTTTGCCGTCCGATCCACATTCAAACTTTCTAGAAATTAGAATGAATGGGTGACGTTCTATGATTTCTTGTTCAAAATCTCACGTGGTAGCGTCCGTCACATATTATAAAGATTTCTTGAAAGAGTGTGTGGCACGTTCGTCTGCAAAGTGCTTGTCGTGATAGGCCCCTCGCGTTTCCCATCTTCTGGAGGATGGACATTTATTTGCTGAGACTTACCGTAAAGCTGCTAAGTTCACACTTATTACTCTCATAACCCGTTTAATTAGCAAATTCCAAGACCGTTGTTCCAAGGAGTAAATCTGGCTAATAATGTTTAACATTCTTATAAGACACATTCAGAAAAGGGCATTATATTATTACTTTAAAGTAGAATGTGAGATAAAACAGATTAAAAACAATTTTAATTTAACATGTAACCATTTGGACCTGATTGAAAATATCTCCTTTGGAGTAAACTGTAAGGAAACAGTCACCAGAGTTTCTGAAAGTTTTTTGAAGGGAGGTAACTAGCAGAAGAATCTAGACTTAGAAATGAGACTTGTGGTTAAATCCCAAACCCAGTTACGCAGTGGTAGTCTAAAGCTTCTAAAACTGGAGTGTGAAGAAAACCCAGAGAGATTCCTATAGTTTCAGTAATCAGAGTATTAGACCAGACTTTATTTGCAATTTGTTCAACAGAGAGATTTTATTTTGATACAAATATTAAGCATAAAGCATAGTAAGTTTTATATAATTCTATGAGTTCATTAAACAATATTATGAAATTTTCATTCTGTTCTTGGGGAGTCTTAGCTATTTCTACCTCATATATGAGGTCTCTTCTGTATTTTATTTTGCATACGAGCATGTGATTGCCTGCCTTAGAACTATGTATAGGAGGGGAAATCAGTATTACCTTTTAAGAAATTTTTGATTTAGGAAACACTTGTTTTCATTAACACTTTTTTAATACGTGAGAAGTAAGGGGGGATGTGGCAAATTGCGTAGGTTTCAACACAGAGTAGAAGTCACGGAGTAGTATCCATTTATAAGTCTGTCCTGTTTGAAGAGTTTTAGAATTGTGAACAGGATAGAGCGGTGATTCTCCAACTTTCACCCAGCATCAGACTCACCTCGAGGTCTTGTTAAGATTGCTTGGCCCCCATCCCCAGAGTTTCTGATTCTAGGCTGAGCCTGATGATTGGCATTTCTAACAAGTTCTCAGGTGATGCTGCTGCTGCTGGCCGGGGAACCACACTTTGAGAATCACTGACCTGATGCGTCTCCCAAGCCGAAGGTCTCAGAGACCTGAAGGCTGAAGGTCTTTTCAACCAGGCATCTATTTACTCAGCGTGAAAAACTGAGCTCTTGAGACATTTTTGTAATTCTGATGCCGTGAGTGGGACATTCATGGAGAAAGATCTCTGTCCTTTGGACCATGGCCACCCCTCCTCTTCCTCGCCCCTGCCAGGGTCTGTGCTGCTCTTCTACAGCGGGTGAAGGAGCTTGGTGATTTCTAGGGTGAGCTTGGTTTTATGTGCACCGCTGCCTCGGCTTTGGCCGGGAAGCCGTGCCCTTGTCTGGAGTGCTTAGAGTCACTGTTGATGACCCAAACACATGGAAACGAGAATCCTGGGAAGAAGCCATCAGAATGTCACGAGAATGCACTTTGCATTTATCGAGGCACTAAAGTGCGGGCGTCCCTGTCCTAAGATGGCAGTGACGTGGAACATTGAAAAAATAGATAATCCCCAAATAATGTATTCTTTAGCTTTTATGTTTTTTTCCCCCCTTCTGGGGAAAGTGAGAGCAAAAGATTTGTTTTTCAAATTATGTGTTTCTCAGGTTCACAAAGTTATTTTCGCTTCTCTGTGCCGTGCCAGCAGGTATTAGGGAGAGCGTGAAGTATACCTGGCAGAATAGAAGTATTGTCATTGGTTACTTTGCTACCTTTGAAAACAGTCTGTAT